TACTCACTGCGGCGCCGCCGTGTACCCGGACGACCTGACGCGGCTGTGGAACACCAGCGGCTGGTCCTGCACGGCGCCCCGGGCCGCTGCACAGAAACGAGTTCGAGAGGGTCCGTTAGCGCGGCCGTTTGCGGTCACGACAAGAACTCAGCCCCTTAGAGACAGAAAGGTCCGGACCGAACGGGTTCGCGACCTGTAAATTCAAGGGGTTTCTCACCTGACACCAAACCCACCAATACCAGCAAAGAAAGTAAAATCGAGGCCAAAGCACAAGAAAACAGCAAAAAATGCTTCTCCCACGCCGGAAACGACACGGCACTGCACTGCTCACTGCTGCGCGTCCCACGTTCCCGGGGACCGACACCGCGGCCTTGCCCGCCGCCGTCACAAACGGCCACACACAGAACCCGGTCCACGGGACGTCCTGTCCGTGCAACACTCAAACTGGCCTGAACACCAGCCGGCGAGGAGCGGTGCACTTCGCAAAGCAGTGACGAACACCCTTCCCTGCTAACGAGCATAGTTATTCTCAACCAATCCAAATTTCTCTCTCACGCTTTTATCACATAATAGAATAATAAGTACGACGAGCCACTGAGACACGGCTGCGTGAGAGCGTCTCGTCGGCAAGGGAACGTCTTGCCCTATCTTTAACATACATTTTTCACAGCACTGCTGACGAAACCTGACGTCACATGGATTTACGAACCTCAAAAATGCTTTCGGACAAAATAAAATTCTGCCAGAATAATTTATTTACATTTAATATTTGGTATTCAATCTGTAAAACACCTTAATTTTAGAAAAATGGGTAATTGCATAATATTGAATAATTCTAAAAATAGTTCTCTAAAAACATTCAGTTCTGATACAATTTCAAAACTGATAACCTGAACCATATTCCCAAGAAAAGCCAAGCGAACCTAATGAAAACATTAAAAGAATATTTATTTCACACAGAAAGCCGGGCCCAGCGTGGGGCAGGCACCTCAGCTGGGACCTGGGACCCCAAAGTTCCAAAGAGTAGGAGAACTGGAGATAAAACTGTACCTCGGCATCAGGTAAACAGAAAAGGCCTTCCCTGAGAAAAACTTTCAAAAGCCAACAGAAAAATAATGTCAGGATAAGGCAGTCAAGTTAGAGGCACGTCAGCGTACCCGGCCACGAGAACGCCTTGAAGTCAAGTCCGAAAGTGCGTAACTGCACGTTATTTTAATTAACGCTTAAGCACTGACACCTGAGGGCCCTTCACACCTCTTTCGTTTTTCCTGTCATGCTTCGTCGGGAGAAGGGCGCACATGTCAGCTGGAAGCACTCGCATAAATCAGTCCCCTCGTTAATTTTCCATATGAATATCTTCTAAACAGTCATAAATAGTTAACACTTTAAAATTTCACCACTCTCTGGGTACAGAGAAGCCATGACCTCTGTGATAACCTGTTTGTGATAATCGCTCTCACATTCGGCTCTAAAATCTAAGCAGCATATTTAGTTGCGAAGCATAATACATCGCACACTCCTCTGAAATGGATGGTCCATATTAGTAAAAGATGAAATTCCACTTTTAAGGGGCAATCTAAATAAAACACGTAAGAACAGCAGCTAACAAAAGGAACGGATTCCGTGAAGAGGAGGAAAGTCGTGTGTCCCTCAGCCGGGACACCCTCGGTCTCTGGTGGGAACGTGTCCAGCTTATCGGACAGTCACCCCCGCAGGACACGCTCCCGCACACAGGCGACTCACACGGAGCTCGTTCTGCAAGCTGTGCCTTTGAGGCAAACACATTTAGAATTTTGGAATATCATCTGGACAATATAGCATTTTTCCGACTGTTAACAACTTTAATGAGTACCTGTTAGTTACTAATTTTTCCAAAAAACTTTAATAGAAACGTACACATAACATGAAGTCATTTGGGGTATTAAGAAAATGATTCAAAAAGACTTACGTTGTCCAACAATATGAAGGTACTGAAAGCCAATGAACTGCACACTTAAAAATGGTTAAAATGGTAAATTGTGTTATATACATTTTACAATTAAAAATACACACAAGTAGAGAAATAAATGAAATGTTTTTAAAAGAGCACAAAAAACAGACTATTGCCATGCAAAGTACAAGACCACATCATGCCTAGCAGACACTGTCGACCCTTCCTCACCACGAGGACGGCACAGGAATTGAAAGCTCTGTGAGGAGCTGGCCTGACATCCGCGTCACACTCAGTACGCTGACCGGTACTCAGACCGCCGCCCGCCCCGGAAAGGACAGCGAACGCCACATAAACCCACTTCTCCACCTCCTGAAGAAGACAGGGTGATGACAACAGGGGCAAGGACCGAAGCAAACGGGGAGGGGGGGGCTTCTGAGCTGCCCCACCTGCCCCCCCAGGGCTCCCTCCCCTGTGACCCCCACATCGGCCCAGCCCTCCCGAAGCTCTGTCTTCCTCGAACCCCATCAGGTCTCCCTGTGTTGTGACCTCTGATAAGTCCTCAGAGAGAAGGCCCCATAGAGCTGTCATCACTGCAACCACCAGTCTTTGGGGACACGTCATCTGTGCGTGCTCCCCGACTAGAGTGTCAGCTCCGGGGGCGGGGGGCAGGGGTCTCTCCATTTTGCTTAAAATCCTATCCCTAGCTCTAGATCGAGCCCGGCACCTGAGAAAGCTCCCTGATTTCCTGAGTAAAGGGCGGCATGCATGATGCATACGACATGGCCATCTCACAGGTCATGTGACGCGGCAGGCACGTGTGATGTGTGCTATGTGATGGATGTGACATGCTGTGACGCGGTGTGACAGGAGCGGCTGAGAGGCGGAAGACAGGGAGGAGGAGACACGGGCTGACGAGCACACTTACTGTTTTTCAACCAGGTCAACAAGAGGATTAACAAGACTGATGAGGACTGTGGGTTGGTCGCTGAAGAGAATAAGTCATTGCCAAGGGAAGTTAATTTTAAGTGTTTTTTTGTAACAAGCAACGTGCATTTATCTGGATGCTGCTTAAAACAAAACAATGAGAAAATACTTTTGAGAATAATTGATTGTGGCCTGGTTAATACAAGATACCAAACAATTGCTGTTAGTTTTGACACAATGGCATCGCGGCCAGGAAGGAAACGGACGTGTGTTTAGAAATGCACCCAGAGTGTGTGGGGTACGATAACACCACGCTCGGGATTTGCTTGAAGTTCTTGAAGTTCTTCAGCAAAGAGAAATAAGAACAATTATTCCCGTGACACGTAGTTACAAGTGTCCACCCTGTGCACCGCTGCAGCAGCCACGAGAGAAACCACCGCCAGTGTTTCTAAACATTACTGAATTCCTACGGCTTATACCCGACTCAGGGGAAGCAACGTGCAGCACAGTCCCCGCTGCTAAACAACACGTGGGGGAGCGCGGAGGGCGAGGCGGGCGGGCAGGAGTCGCTCTGACGGATGAGGCCCGCACGGCCACGCGGCACGGCCGACCGCGGCTCAGCTAAGGGAGCGGACGGCCTGCGTGTTTTTTATTTCCGAGTATGTTATACTAACCAGACTGTTTTTGACGAACTGGCTTGGTACTTTTTTCCTCAATAATCCTGAAATACAGCGGAGAAGTCGACAAGACACAGGAGCTAAAATAAACACAGAAGACTGTACTACGTGACGGAGCTACTTCAACAAAACACCCGTTCAGGACCGTCGCGAGCGATTCTTCACCGGATACGAACATACCGTGTTTCGAAGAGAGGATGACGATCGAGCTTAAACTTATCCTTCTCAGAAGTAAATTTGTATTTTTAATAAATGCACTGTTCTGTAACCTACTATGCGAAATAGTGTTTCGTGCTCAAATAAACTGTGAGCCGTTTAGTTCTGAACAAGATGGAGGCAACGGCTCGAGCGGCAAGTTCTTCCAAACTCGGTCAGTGTACTCAGGACTCAACCAAACTTCACTTTATTAAGACAAAGAAGAAGCTGGACTCTACCAGCTGGCAAATGGGCGCACAGGTCCCCGCCTGGAACACTCACCTGGGCAGCACCGAGAGAGGCCGCGCCGGCGCAGGGCGCTGCCATGACCGCAGCAGCGCGGGGACGCTGACCTCCAGCACGGCGATCTGATTCCCAAACAGGGAGGTGAGTACGCAGAACGCCTGCAGGACACGTCACGACAGAATGACCACGTCACGGGGACGCAGCCGTGACCGGCCCCCTCATTCCTCCCGCACGCTCGGCTCCCGCAGCATTGAGCCTGCATCAGGCAGCACGTGAATGGCCGTGCTGCTGGCCGGGTGGGTGCCGCATGCACAGGGATTCGTGAGAATGTTCCCGCCTAACGCTCGCTGCACACGGAGGGCGTGAGCACACCCGGCCCGCACTCCCCGGGCCCGCCAGCCCGAGCCTTCCCGACTGACCTTATCGCTGCCGGCCTCGTTCGTCATGGCGCATGACCCGGTGACTTGAATGCTGAGGTTCCGAAAATCTTAGGAAACAGAAGCAGACAGTGACGAGTAAGGGGTGAGCGAGGGAACGTTCCCGACCACACGACACGCCGGCACCGCTGGGGCTGCGATGGCACAGGGACAGGACAGGGCCCAACGCCAGTGCCGCTCGGTAGATGCCACCCTGGGACACGGACAGCACGGACGGGCATAACGGCATTTCAGCTGTCTTACAGGACGAGCAGGGACGGCCAGCTGAGGGAGGAGAGAAGCAGGGCTCAGACCCCGAGGCCAGCAGCCGTCCAGAGGGTTCAGGGAAGTTGTCCTGACACTCCCGAGCCATCCCCAGAACAGGCACCTCTCCCAGGGGAGCTTCACGGAGAACAAGCACCTAGGGGCCTGGGCCATTCTCACTGCGGGGGACGGAGGAGGGCCCCTTCCCGGGCGGCGGGACAGAGACAGGGCCCCTTCCCGGGGGGCGGGACAGAGACAGGGCCCCTTCCTGAGGAGGGCGGAGAGGCTCCCGGCAGTAGGGCTGAAAGAGGTGTGCGGGCAGGTGGCAGCACGAGCACAGGGCCAGGACTAGAAGGAGAGCGTGTCCACTCACTTTACGCAGGTGAGCGCAACCCCCGGCAAGGCTGTGCAGGCCCAGTGCCAAGCCTTCGGTGGGACACACTGACAACTGAGGGGCCCTCGCCAGGAGCCTTGGGACACTCTGGTGCCTGGAGGGGCAGGGGCGGCCCACAGAGATGGCAGAGGACGGCTGCGGGATGGGGAGCAGCCTCAGGGAGGCCTGCGAACTGGGACGGCCACCCAGAGCTCAGAGCAGAACCAGACACACGCCCCTGGGGCTCAGGCGCGCATTGGTGACCTAGGAACCGGCGGAGGGCAGGCCACCTACCGCTAGTGGCTGATGCACCGTCCTCAAATTCAAATGACAGGCCTTCTGCCCTAACACTCAAAGTCCCCGCAGCAGTTAAAAGCCCTGAAGTTATGTGAAACTTACATCAGAGGCCCCCTGACCCTGGCTGGACCTTACCCCTGTACTGGAGGACGGCTTCGAACTCGAAGTTCGCCAAGTTAAACACGAACAAACCCGCTGAGCTCCCGATCCACAAGCAGCTGGCATTCTCGGGAGACAGACACCTGAGAATGGAAAAGACAAAGACACTGTACGACCTTACCATGATCTTCGCTCCCACGGACGCCGCGGAGCGCCACGCGATTTCCCGAGCGGCGCGTAACCGCGGGGACACGGGAGCGGCCCCGCGTGCTGTCGCAGGCGCTGGTTCCCCTCGCCCGGGCTGTCATCGCCACAACCAGGCCGGAGCTAAACGGGCTTCCTAGGCGTCCACTCCCCACAACCCGGTCCCAACTGCACTCTGATCTGCAGCATGGTCATTTCCTCTGTGGTCACAAGAGGTTGATGCCACGTCTCTCGCACACAGGTGTCCTTGTGCGGGGCTCGGTGCCATCGCGACCACTGCCCCAAAGATGGCGCCGGCCAGCGAGAAGCGCACTCAGGAGGAGGCTGCCCTCGAAGCAGCAGAGCTCGCGAGGCAGACACCGGCCTGCGGCTGCTGCTTCTAATTCACAAACTACGTGAAAGTCTCTCAACCGATTAATGAGCCTCATTCCGGAAATGCCAGACTGCGACTCAGAGCTCCCCAGACCCGCCTGTCATCGCCTGCACTGCAGGACACCGGTCCAAACAGCAGCCTCATCGTCACCCGCCGCTTCCGACAGTTCCGACTTCCCTGGGCCCATTCTTGGTGTCCCCGCCTGCAATGCCAGACCACGGTGGGCCAAGTGGCTGGTCTTAAACAGGAGTCAGATCCCGAGATGCCCTGTGCACCCTCCAGTCGTGGCCACTGCTCTAAGAGGTGGGGACACAGGCCTCAGACCCTCCACTAGGCGCCAGCACCGGCCGACCGACCACGCCCGTCCCCGCCTCCACCGTGGTGTGGACCAGGCCGTGGCACGGACCAGGCAGGCACCCATGCGGAAGCTCGGCCACACAGCTGGCCCGGCCATCACACTGGCCCCTCGGCTTTCCCTGCCCAAAGCTCGCCTCTCGTCCAGGAGACCACAGTCTTCAGCCATCTCTAGAGCCTCAGCGCTCTGCAGGACACAGGCAAATACAATCCCCGTGTGCCCTTTAAGCACGGTTAACAGTGGCTCCCTCACATTGCCAGTGTTTTCAATATTCAATCAAACACAGACAGATAAAACTCATCTGGGGTCAACTTTGAATGTATCACATATGGCAGAAATGGGAGAAGCCTGAGGATGGTTACGATTACAGTCCCCTTTGCCCTACTACGGAAGCCAGGATCCACCTAGATTGTGCTGAGCAGAATGAAAATAATCTCATTTCTTTTATTAAAAGATTCAAAAACAATTGACCAAACTTACCAACTTTAAGATTTAAAATATGTAATCTTAAGAACACTTACAGTTATTATTACTCGACCAGACTAAAATTATTCAGTTTTATTTTCCTCATTCTAATAAAAATAAACCTAATTTAAGAGGTCTTCCTCATGTGGCGTTAGCCGAGTTCATCACACTTACGATGCACACTCAGGGTGTAGGACGAGCGAAAGGTCACAGGGAGCCAGGCTCAGGACAGGCAGCGCCACTTCGGTGCCGGCCCCTTGCTCCAGTTCACTTGCCCAGGGAGGCTGGCTCTCCCCTGGGAACAGAAGAGCCGATGATCTGATCAGTGAGGTCACAGGCAAACAGCAACGCGGGGTGCTGTGCGAAGCGCTTGTTGCTCCAATCACTCAGGTCTGACTCAAGTTCACACGTCGTAAAAAGAACAAGGCTAGAGGTCAAACAGAGACCAGGGGCCTGTAGGGCGGGGGAGGGAGGTTCAGGTGCAGAAGCACAAAGAGGGGACGAGGGGCTGGACGGCTGAGACAGGTTTGACTCCCATCCCTAAAGCGGGCTTGAGGGTACTTCATAGCTAATGGGACTTACCTGAGAAATAATGAAAGCCAGACATAAAGCATTAGGAAAAAATGGATACATTAGATAAAGGCAATTTCTGATCTGCTTTTGAAAGAAATGGCTTAAAGCTACCTGCAAAAAAAAAAAAAGAAAGAAAGAAAGAAAAGAAACAAACTAAACTAAAAGAATAACAATGATGATAAAGTCGAAGGTCAGCAGACGCGTCTGCTGCAGCATGAGAGTCAGGGCTGCGTGCCGCTCTGAGTCACTGGCTGGATCAGGAAGCAGAATCCACAGTTTCCCAGCAGTGCAAGCTCCTCCAGACAGTGTGGCAGACACTGCGGACAAGTGGAGGCTCTGGGCCAAGGGCGCCGGCAGGCGACCAGCCATAGGAGCGGGCAGCGCCGCCCGGGGGCGAGTCCATGATGTGCAGGGCGTGCCTGAGCCCAGACCCCCAGGGCCACGATACGCCCCCGCCAGGTGCTGCCCACGAGGCCCCCTGCACACAGGCCCGCCCTCGCCCGCCCCCACCTGTCGCCTCACAAGGCCTGCCTGGGGCCCGGCAGATGTCTAAGGTCACAACCAGGGCTTCCCAGTCAGGAGGGACCCCCACACTCCCCCACACCTAAGACAGGGCCACGACAGGCTGCCCCGGGAGCCCTGTGGGCCTGGGCAGTGGGAGGCTTTCAGCGTCCTACCTAGCAGGCTGCACAGGTGCGACCCAACCCTCCTGGTGAAGAAACTCTCTCCCGTTTTCCTCAGGTCAACATGTGTCACGCGGCGATAATGGTGTCTTTCAACCATACTGAAGATCCACAGCTGGAAAACAAACATATGCGGACGCAGTCGCCACATGGTCCAGGCGCAGAGGCAGCAGGAGCTACTTGAGCAGACCAGACGGAGGCCAGTCCCGCATAGGCCCAGCAACCCTTCTCCGGGCCCCGATGCCTGTGGTCAGGTCCTTCCTGCCCCTTACACACCCCAATCTCGAGCACCTCCACGGGCACATGGGCCAAGAGCGCTGACTGTGGATGCAGACACTGCGTCGTCCAGTCCCTACAGAACAGGCCACCCGAGGGGATGGTGCTCTCGCCCCCCCAGGGATGCACCTCACGCATCACGGGTGATGACACACAGGTAAGTACAGTCAACACTGTCAGAAGAAATTATTTTAATTTATGAAACGCACCTGTGATGCTGTGACTTGTAATGAGAAATTCATTCGGTCCCTGTCCCTGTTCCCGACAAAGAGCAACTAATACCCTTGGGACTCAGGCGACAAGCACTACAAAGGTGTCTTTTGTTATGTTAATGAGGTGACTAGTGTAGAGTCCTCATGTATCCTAACAATGGGGCCGGAGAAGGGACATGGTGATCAGAGGGTGAACTTTCACCTCACAGCCTGGCCTCCTGGGAGGGGACAGGGGCCGGAGACGTTCAATCAAAACGGACGGTGAGTTCATCAGCTGTGCTTATATAATGGAGCCCTATGAAATCCCCAAGTATGGGGTCCAGAGAGCTTTGGGGCTGGGGACACATCCAAGTCCCAGCAGGTGACACACCCCAGGCCTGTCTTCACCTGGCTATCTGTCGCCTGCACCATGACCTGATCAACGTGAGTAAGCGTCTCCGGAGTTCTGAGCCACTGCAGCAAATCAACTGACCCTGAGGAGGGGGCTGCGGGACCTGCGATATGTAGCCAAGTCGAGCAGACGCTGCAAGTGACCTGGGGACCTAGGACTTGCCACTGGCATCTGAAGCGGGGCAGCCTCACGGGACTGAGTCCTAACTGTGGGGTCCGACGCTTTCTCCACCAGCTGGCTCGGCATGAGTTACACGGTGGGACGCCCGGCTGGTGTCATAGAGAATGAGTTCCCGTGGGCACAACCCCTCGCGCTTGGGGACCAGAGTGTCAGAAGTGAGGTGTTCTGGGTGAAAGTGCAGGAGACTCAGCGGAGGACAGAACCGGGTTATTCCAGACGCAGCGCCCTTCCCTAGCGACGCCCACGGCCACTTTTCAAGAGTCTACTATCCATACTTTGTGAAGCAAACCTAAATCGTTCATCCAAAAATCTAAGTTTCGAAAAAGATCAAGTGTCTTCAAAATGTTCAAAGCAGATCCCGCCGACACGAACGGTGATGCTTTTGGCTGGCGCTTTCAAGACGCACAGGTGACCTGGCGCCCCTGCTGGGAGGCCCAGGCAAATGACAGACCCCGGGCTGCGGGGCCACCGGGGGAGGGTCTCCACGGCCGCGGCCACCGGTGCCTTCGCGCCACGGGGAACGCAAAGTGACACTGAAGCAAAGCCCTCCTTGCAGATGGCCGCTTAGTCACGTGACGTCTGGAAACCCCGGTGCCCTTACCTGGCCCGCGGCGCATCCGGTCACGAGCTGCTGACTTCTTTCGTCGACGAAGAGACTTAGGAGAGGGGAAGCTGGGGACAGAACAGACACTGAGCTTTAAAAGCCCCTGACATCATTCGAACTGAAGACTATCGGTTCTACTTACATTTCTTTCAGTCAAGTTTAAACCATTCCAAAATAACCTCTTCACAGAAAGTAGAAACCGTGAGTAGCACTGCGGAGAACTGCGTGAGTGTGGGGGTCACCTGCGCACGAGCCCAGGGACAGCATGGGCTCCAGCTGGCCTGACGGGTCACACGTCTGCCCCGCATCCATTCAGGCCGCTCCCGACTCACGGACTCCATGCAGCGCTATGACCACAGCGAGAACAGCACTATACCCCACAGGCATTTAAACTTTCAACAGGACTCTTAAGTGAGCCAGAAATGATGAAATGATGAAGTCAGTGATGAAAACAGCAACTAAACAGAGGACTTCTTGTTGCCTATGATGTCATTTCATTTAAAACTTATTCTGAATCCAAACTGTCAAGAATCTAAAAGAATTATGCTAAATGGATATTAAAAACACTGCATGGCCTAAAAACTATAAATGACATCAAAATCGAGTTTGTGATTGTCTTCCTGACAGTCAATTGATAATTCCACATAATTAGTTTCAGGAAAACAATTTCAACATAATTCCAAGAAATGTGCTTTATCCCTGAGATTGGTCAGTGTATTCAGGTTGTTAAAATATCATATTCTACACATGGATAAATTCATTTCAGGAAGAATTTTCAATCTTTTGGGAAATATAATAGTAACTGTACCAAGCTGTGGGTATCTGAATATTCTTCAAGGTGTATTTTGTTACTTATCGCAACAAAGGAACTATCTTATACTGATTTTCTATTGTTCTTCTCCACATAAACTAGGATATGCACAGGAGAGGTACACAAGGGACTCTGGAAAACCAGTCACATGAGGTCCTAGGGGGACGGACTCTGCATGAGAGATCACAGGTGACAGATTTGGGGAGTGCTGCCTGCACATGCTGACTGGCCCCTTGATGCCAAAGGCTCTGTGGGGACCTGCACGCCACTGCTCAGCTTCTCAACCCTATACGTGGTCCAATGGGGGTGTCACTTGGCACCAAAGAGACCATCTGAGGAGAGGACAAATGACCCAGGAATGCAAAAGCTGTACAGACGGCTTCTGCTGAACTGAGTCGAGGTCTGCTGCTGTGTCCCAGCCACACCCCCAGGCGACAGGCAGTCGCACCTGCAAATGCCTTAGCTCCGACAGCAGAGGGCGAGGGCACGTCCCGTCTAACAAACGGAAAGCCTCGGACTCCAAGCATATGCTTATGTTTTAAGTTAAAACTTCGAGAGAATTAACTGCTAAGCAAATCCTTTCAGTGCGTGGGTGGGAGCGGAACAGCTATTCATGAGTGACACTCAGATCCCTGGAGAGTCACGGCCCCACCTGCGGAATAACATGCACAGGAGACCCTGGTGACTCGCAGCCTGACAGAAAATACGTAGAAGTTTTAAGTTACCTGCCAGCACTGACGAGCTGTATATTAACGATCCCAAACGATGGTCCCAAACCTTTGGACAGACAGACACACGTGTCCTTAGAAGAGGGAAAACTCTGCCGTCATTGCGACGGTGTGAGCTACTACTTTACCGGATTACGAATTAATCTACGTAAACGTGGATTAAAAGAGAACATAATAAAGCAGGTATAACAAAACTGCGCAAACACCCCGCGAGACGCCAGAGTCGCACGCGAGACGGTCACTTCCCGGGATAACCAGCTGGGGCCGGGCCTTCCCGGCTCCGCGTCGGCATCTCGGAGACCGGTGCACGCTGCGTCCCGGCCTGGCCGCACGAGAAGCCCGCACCGCCCTCTGGCGCGCCACCGCTGTGTGACAGGGACACCCTAGCGCTTCTCAAGCGTCACCCCCTTCGGCCCTCAGAGGTCCTGAGCCGATGTGGCCAGGCTCGGCACGGCCACCGTGGGCTGTGGGAGTGGGGACGCGGCGCCGGCGCACGCGACAGGAAGCGACGTCTCGCGGGCCTCGCGGGCGGGACTCCCAGACGGCGGACACGTGCCGTCCGCCCCCTGCAGACGCAGGGCTGGCCCTCGGCGTCCCTTTCACTCATGACGGTGACGGTGACATCCTCGCTTTGGCCGTAAATGGTGGTGCTAACACCGCTCGCCTGGCGTCAGAGGGACCTGGGCTGGCATTGTCATGTATGTCCCCCCAAGCCCCAGCGGGTTTTGGCTGGACCCTCCACGCGCGGAGACAGGGGTGGCTGGGGGTGGCTCTGGCCGCCCAGGCCCGGCATTCGAGGAGCGGTCCACCGGCCACCCGAGCCTCCCGGCCCTGTCGGGACAAGAGGCCACCGCGAGCGCCACACGGGCCTCCCCACCGCCGGTGACACCGCCAAGCTTCAGGCGGAGGTCAGGGCGGCAGCTACCATGCAGAACGTAGTGGGCACAGAGTGACTCGCACGCCAGTGGCCACAAACCAAAAGGCGCGGCACACACGTGTTCACGGTGCCCCTAAAGCACCTGTTTCACCACAGGCGCTCGCGTGCCCGGCGCCTTACCTTAAAGCTTCTGTCCTCAGACACCGAGATGATGACGTGAGCTTGCCAAGGGCAAAACTCGGCTGCAGTCACGGGGCCCTGGTGCCCTTCGAGCTCAGCGAGTGTAGACTGAGTCTGGGGGTTTGTGAGGGGAGATCGGTAAGTGAGTGTTCTGGTCATGAGTATCAAGAAGTTATACACTTCTCACGAAAAACAGTTTCAGTTAAACTCTGCCTTACGTAATTCCCCCTTCCAAATTTGACACCACCTATACTTAAACCTAGAAGTTAAAATTCAGACAGCCGAGCTCAGGGGAGCACAAGCGTTTCTGGGCCACAGGAGCAGTGACTTTAGAAGGGAGAAACCAGCGAGCCTGACCTTCCACAAGCCTGAGGCGGGCAGCTTCCCACAAAACTGTACATGGTGCAGCTCAAACACCAACGGGTCCACAGGCCTTCCCCGGAACTGCACGGGACGAGTCTCGAGGACCCCAGATAATCGGAGGACACCTCCCACTATCTGTCTGGGACGTCACTGATGACAGCAACCTTTCCACATGTTCCTCAGTTCCACAATTTGTGTGAGCCAGCAAGTGTTCAGAGACAGACGTGCACTCTGCCCCAGACTGCCGCGCGCACACTGGGCGCACCGCCAAGTAATCAGCGGTTAGGAGTTCATGCCGAACATCCTTATCCCAAATCTTTGAACGTGGACATGGCACGAAAATTCCTTGCAGGCAAACAGCTTTGCTGACTGTACCCAGGTCTCGGATCCGCTGTCTCCAAAGCACGTCTCAAGCAGACCATGAATCCAAGGGAACAGAAAGCCAGCGCCTCCTGCTTGCTGACACCTGGTGCAATTTTTTTTTCCAAAATGCCATTTCGCAGTCAAATATGAGATTTGAAAATCACAGAAAGTGGAAGTGGCAACACATTTACTTAACCTAATCTTGATTAAGAAATCAGTGAGAAAAGTCCCATTCCCGATGGAAAGCAAATTGTGGTTAAAGGGATAAACAGAAGGACCACGTTCTGAGGGTCTTAAAGTGATCACTAAAGCAAGAGAATGTCAGGGACAAGTGTTGAATTGAACATGTTTGTTTAAAGTCATCCCTGATACCCAGATTTCAGGCAAAGGTTTCATGATACATAAAAGAGCAGTATCTGATTCCTGTGGTTTTCCGATTGCAAGATAAAAATATGTTTGCAGTCATTTCCCCTGACATGTTTACAAAAGTTCACCCAATTAACAATGCTGTCGAGAAGATGCAGGTGGGAGCTGAGCACCCGCAAGGCCCCCCAGCTCTGCGCCCCTGCGCCGCACGTGGTTAAACGTCACCTCCACATCCAGCAGGAACACTTTATTTCCAGCGCACACGGCAGCAACACGGTCGTCCGGACTGAGCCGTAAATACAGCACCTTCCCCAGCAGGGTGCCCACGATGGTCCCTCGAGGAGGCGACCCTAGGAGGAGGTCCAGCTGTCAGTGTGGTCACCAGAGGTACTCGGCAACACTAGCACAACTGTGACACTGCCACAGGGACACACAACGGGAGCCTCTGTGCCACAAAGAGGTGCGAAGCAACAATGAGCTTGGACGCACCACGGCCCTCTGAGAGCATCAGAAACACTGAGCGTGAAGACTCTTCTGGAGAGAAGTGGGACACAGGAACTGTCCACGGGGAAGGGGCTCGAGGACGGCAGGTCTTTGGGAAGGCCTTGCTTGCACACACATGGGTGAGTCAGGCAGGGTGGCCTGTACGTCCCAGTCCTTTCTCCTCCCTGTGTCCCCCCAGCTCTGGGCTGGGTCCTGTGACCTGCTTTGGCTCGTGTCGGGTGGGCAGAAGGGACAGTGTGCCCATCCGAGCCTCAGCCTCCCAGGCCACTCCACCACAAGGATGTCTCCGGGTTGTCATCCTGAAGGTCTGGTTTGGTGGGCTGGTCACGTGGATTTCTCCGCCATATTATACAAGCACCTGGGCTACCCAGACATCTCCCATAGCACCAGGCATGTGTCCAGGAACCAAACGGGCAGAAACGCCTGCCTTCAAGGCTGCCCAGGGCACTCATACGTGAGGCCAAGGTCAGCAGAGAGG